AGACGCTTCTTGTTTACATGATTTTTATTTTTTATGTACTTAAACAAGTTCAGTTAGTGGTGAACAGTTAAACAGTAGCAGTTTTGTGTAGCCTCGGTCAAGATGAACATTTTAGATACATTGTTTGATCTGTTTTCCCTGGGCTGTCAGTAATTGTCTATGTCCCCCTCCCTGTTAGCTGGCTCAGACAGTCATAGACCTGAACAGCCAGATGCATCAGAAGGACAAAGAAATCCAGGCTAACAAAGAGACGTGAGTAGAAACCCTTTTGTTATACTTCTATTTTTCTGATTTATTCTGCTATATGCCTGGTTTCCCTTCTCTTTCTGATATTCCTACGAGTGATTTTTTGTTTTTGTCCCCCATATTACGTTTATCTTGAAGTCCCCTTACTATTGTATGCAGTCCTGAAACTGCTGCCCTCTTTGCTTTTGCAGGATTGAGGAATATATCCGTACCATTGGTTCACTGGAAGTAGAGTGCCAAGACTTGAAGAATAAGCTGCAAGAACTGGAGCGAGCCAATCAGACCTTGAAAGACGAGTACGACGCCCTACAGATAACCTTCAACGCTTTGGAAGAAAAACTGCGGAAAACCACAGAGGATAACCAGGAGCTAGTGAGTCGTTGGATGGCTGAGAAAGCTCAGGAAGCCAATCGTCTCAATGCAGAAAATGAGAAAGATACAAAGTGAGGCTCATTAACTGTCTTTTCTACCACCTTCAGAACTATTCATGTTTATGGTGTGTGTCACATAATAAAGGCACATAGCATTTTATTTTGCTTATTGCATGTTATTTTCTTGTGGTGTACTTTATCATGTTCTTGTTAAAGAGGAACTGCGTCCCTTGTGGTGGTGGTTTTTTTTTTCTTTTCCTTTTTTCTTTTTCTGTTCCCCTTCTCCCTTAGGCTCCATTCACATATAGTGTTACCCACACCGTTTTCCGTTCGGAAGGACGCACAGGGCGCAAACGCTATAAGTGAAACAACTGCATGGAGTCCCCTCATTTGCAGCTATTGTATAGCCGCGAACGTGGGCGCAAACGCTATAAGTGAAACCACTGCATGGATTCCCCTCGTTTGCAGCTGTTGTATAGCCGCGAACGCCCAAACTCCAAAAAATGGAGCTTGGACTATTTTGCGGGCCGCAGCAAATGTCTTTACACTGCACATTTAACCTCCCTGGCGGTCTGATGTATGATCAAGTGATTCTAATTTACTATCGCTGTCTTCTACCTGGTCTAAAACCGCTTTTGACCTAAAGGGACGATTTTTTGATGCCATGCACTTTCTCAAGTTTCCAGGCAGAAAGAACAGTAAAAGTGCAGTCAGGGCACTGGACAAAGCTCTGGGGACAAAATTGAAGTGAAATGGTTTTGATATATAAATGTAATTGTAGCAGATTGCATTGTATTGTGTGTATTCTGTGTGTATATTGCATGTTTTCACTTTTGAATTTCCCGTCGGCTCCGCCTCCCGCTGTTAAAATTAACCCCGAGCCACACTCGGGAATACCGCCAGGGAGGTTAAAGTGCATTGTATTTCTGTTTTTCGAGCGGCTCCCTCTGTGAATGGAGCCTCACCTGGTTTCTTGGGTTATACGCCAAACTTACCTACACATCCAGCTAATCCAGCATTGTCCTGCTCTAATCAGCAGAAGGACACTGCAACCCAACTCCTGCACTGACACCTTTGCTTACATCATCGAGAGTCAGCTGTCTTAAGTTCTTGCAGCCGGCCCCCTCTTTATATGCACAGTGTATTCTAGATTGCCCTGAAGCCACCTAGGATGTGTGACCTGAGTAGGCCAGGAGGCTTTGAGCAGCTTGGGATGTCAATCTCGCCTGGGCAAGAAATATGGAAGAACAGGTTGTGTTCCAAAAAAAGATATTTAAAAAAAAGAAATGTCACTGATTTCATGCAAAGGTAGGGGGAGCAATATTCATTAGAGAAGAAAAAGGCAATGAAGGTCCACTTTAAAAGAAACGATTCGTAAAATAATGAGCAAAACGTTTCATATGTAGAGTACAGGGAAAACTGGGGGTAGGAGTAGGTGATTTCTGGAAAATGTAAGAAATGGAAAGTGAGAATTAGTAGCACAACCAATCGCCAGGAACAAGAAGTGTGTGTGATCTTGAAGGGCTAGTATGATATCCTACAGATATCCTTTAATGCTTTCAAAGGGTGATGGACTACGATCCCCTATGAGTATGTCGTTATAAAGGGGAAACAGATGCGATATTTGATGTACATTTTTCAAATATCAGGCAAACAGCAGGATGCTTTTTGAATTGGACGACCTGGAGATGGGCAGATATCTCCTATAGAATGTGCGGTAAGGAAATAACTGTCTTTTAGAACTATAGCAGCACAACCCCACTACTACTTTTCAAGTGATTTGCCTGATAAAGCTGCAAAAGTGTAGTTGATTGCTTCCTTTCCTCTTCACATTGCACTTCGTCCAACATGTGGGAATGAGGAGACTTTCAAAGTTGAAATATTTATTTGAGACAGGTGCTCCAGAAGGTCAGAAGTGTTCATTTCTCCCTAGTGTAGCAAAGTAATATGCTTAGTTGCTGGAACAAGCTTTTAAGGCCACCCATAGCCATCAATGAGAGCAAAGTTGAAGCATCAGACATAATGCCAGAAATGATCCTTAATGATTAATGAAGGAAATAAACTTTTTGTTTTAAGTCTTGCATTTTATTTTGTCTATTGCGTTAGTCAATATAAAGCATTGCATTCAAATAAACTTTTAAAGACTTTGCTAACACTGAGTATATGAATAAAACTTCTGCGAAAACTGCATGTTCCATTATGCATCCAGAGTCATAAGCAGTTGGACTATGTGTACTCCTTTTTTTTTCTCTAAAAGAGAACTATGGGGTAACTTTTTTTCCCCCATAGTTCTCTTAAGGGTCATGGGAGGACATATACTAACCTCCCGTGACCCAAAGCTTAGTATATAGCGAGCTATAACTCGCTATACCCTGAGAGCTCCTCAACCAGGACGGATCCACCAATCTGGCTGATTGACAGCTGGCTCTGCCTATC